CACAACAAATTTCTTTTAGACGTTTTCACCAAGTAGGATTTGCCTACATCATGCTTGATTCAGATACTCATAAGCCGGTAACACCAAAATGACCTCTACATGACTATTCACAGCTTGTCTTGGAGAAAATGAACCAATTAATACAAACATTTTTATTAATCATTATAGAACCATTAAGGCTGCCAACCCAATTTTCATACTGGAAACATATTAGATAAACTAATTCCATTATTGATTCTTTTAGAAATGAGCTGTTTCAACACCAGATTTAATTTGATTTGATAAATTAAATTTTACAGTACGTGGTTATCAATTTACTGTTTTTTTTTTATAATATATTTAAATGCGTCGACAACAAATTGTTGTGCTCAATATGTTAAGATTAAAGCAGCTGCTGCAATAAAAATGCAGTCAACTTAGACGTCATGGGTTTAAATTCTAGACTAGTCTGAAAATCTATATAATACTTGCCAAAATCATTAAATATAGGATATACAATGTTATTTGATGACCAATCACTAGTGTCTACCTACATAAAATAAACATTATTATACAGCGTGTGCTCGAAAATAATTCTTCTTCGATACTTTAAGATATCGATAAAAATAAGTTTGACAAGAATATTCCTTAGTCCTTGATTAATAATAAACAAGTCTTGGTGGCGTAGGTGTCTTAGGTGTTTGCATTCGTTTGCAAGCAAATTTGTTGTTGAGAAACACACTGGCTTCGAATTTTACGGCAGACTATGTACATTTTTAATTAATTTGCATGGTTTTTTATAGGATTTGATGGATGCCGTATTAGCAGAAATTTAATGGGTTTTCCCCACATATCACATGGCAATCATCTTTAAATATTAATATCCGTCCTTCCCCGGAGAAGCGTAGCTTTTAGGTTAAAATCTTAAATAAAAGAAACAACAGATGAAGCATTTTATTCATAACGTATCATTTGTTTGGTTCCAATCATTGGAAAATAGAAAGAAGATATTTTATGCCGATTGAAAGAAGACAAATTGTAATCCTAGATCTCGTCTAGCAATGTTGCTGTTACAAGCAACTAAAAGTCTGTCGATACCAGTGGCGTATCTTATTAAAGATAAAATCGTAACTCCTCGATTTTTGTACGAAAAAGATTATTAATTTGCAGTTAATAATAATAAGAATTTTGTAAAATTTAAAAACACGCAGAACTATACAACAATAAAACTGCGTTTAGTGCTAGGCGTTAGATTAGATTTAATTAGGACTGTGGGCCATGTGGCCTCCCCCCTCGACCTTTTCAGATCTATTGTGGATATTCTTTAATTGTTGTTTAGAGTACCTTGTCTAATTCGGTCTTTTGTAGAAAACTCCACAGACTAGGAAGTAGTTCTCCGGTATAGCTAGTTGCCCTTGGTTTTTCTTCTCCAAGTGTAAGAAATCTCAGTCTTGCTAAACTTTCTCAGTAGCACAATACGTGTTCTGCCGTCTCGTCCTCGTCCTGACAGAATCGGCACAAGGTCTCTTCTGTTAGACCGATATTATACATAGGTTTGTTAAGCCCTGTAAATAGACCTACTAGTACTCCAGTATTTTTCCTATTAAGGCTTAGTAGAGGCTCGACGAGTTCAGGCGATGGTCCTTTTAAGAACTCTTTGGCCTGTCTCTGTTCACAACTCCTGAGAATTTTTAAACATCCACTGCTTTGTGCATGTTCTGATAATTGCTTTCGTTCCACCGCAGAAGGTTCTGGGCCAATAAGTGCATTTGAGGCTCCTTCTCGGGCTAGTAAATCAGCCTCTTTATGTCCTTTGTGGCCTGATACCCAGGCTAAGGTTAGTCTGTTTTGGCTACCCAGCTCTATTAGGGCTTCCAAACAGTCCCACACAAGCATTGAGGGTACCTGCATGGAACTAAGTACTTTTAAGTCGCTTGACTGTCTAAGTCTATGACAATGGTTTTTTTCATTTACCTTTTGTCTTAATACCTCTTTTGCACACTGATGTATTGCTGCTATTTCTGCCTGGAATACAGTCGCATGTTTTCCTAACCTCAGTGGGAATCATGTCTTTGGCTTGGTATTATATATATCTACTCCTGAACCTTCATGGGTTTTGGAACTGTCTGTGTACCAGGTGAATTCTGCATAATTAGGAGGTCCTCTCGTCCACGCTTCTTTGTCTGTTATACTTACTTTATATTGCTTTTGAAGGCTATACTTGGGGAGCATTTCGTCTGAAGGCATTCCCATTATTTGGTCGTTCTCCAACTTTTTAGGCGTTAAAAAAACTTCGTTTTTATTTAATAAAGAAAACATTATTCGTTTCTAAACAACACTACTTTTGGTCTTTAAACTTCCTATTCTATTTTTCTTGATATATCCAACTCTTTTGTGGTTTCATAATGAATGCGAATATTGAACTAATATTTTAATATCAGCTTTATCAAATCTACTACGTGATTTTTAAGAATATCGCTATCAAAAATGTGATCTCCTAAAAAACTGAATATGTTAGATTCTAAGGTTTTTACAGCATTTGAAATTGATATATCCAAAATCTCCAAAATGCTCCGAGCAAAAAACTTTTTTGTATACCTTCATTTTCATCAAGTCCTACAAGTGATAACCAAATATTTCTTGTATGCCTATCAGTTGGGAATCTAAAAAGCAAGCATAAGCATAATTATTTTACTACTAAAGTCTAGACTAAAGTGTTTCCATTAATAACAATTTTTGCGAAATTAATAACGTTTAAATAAAGGGGATAAATAATAGTAAAACAAAGGTAGATAATACATATGGTTACGGCAAAAATCTTTAAATCTACACCACTGAACAATGCAATACATCACCTAATCTTACTTACTTATGAAAAAGATAGTTCAGCACTCACATTATCAAGTTTTTTTGCACAAAATGCACTCGCAAACCATGTTGTTAGCTATAGTCTAAAACTATGAACGGAAATATTTCCAAAAAAGTCTAAAAATCAACAAGAACATCTGATATGGAACATTTTACTGTACGGCAACGTCGCATACTATCGATCGATAAAATACTATACGTGGCGTATAGTATTAATAAAACAAGGTTATTTTCAATTGCGGTAGTGTCATGTTTAACGCTTTTAAAATCCATGCATTTATTTGCAGGCCGATAATGGTCTAAAAATAGGTTCTGCCAAAATATCAAGTCTGCTGTTAGTTAAAATAGCTTAACATACTTTGTACACATTTTATACGTTCTTTATTTTGTTACAAGTCATTTTATTTAGAGATTTACTATAAGAAATGTTTCGGGAAATATTGCAACAACTCTGCCCACAATGCGTCGGAGTGACAAACACTACTCTAGGTACGAAAATGAATTGGTGGAGATGCTTGATGTGTCGCAATATATCTCGAAACTATTCTAAATAATAAAACTTGTTGCTATTAGTGAGTTATAGGTTAAAACTATTTTTAAATAAGAAAGGGATAAAATACACAGCCTGGCAACAGCGCAACAGGCAACGCATTTTTTTGCAATGTATGACCGGGTTTAAAGGTAAATAGAGGAGATTTGTTTAAAATTCATTCGTTAGGGGGTGAAATAGGAAAATTATTATTACTATTAATAATATTATGATTACATTATTATAGAAATAAACCACTAAAAAATTCAGGAGATTTTTAAGCATCTTTGTATATATACAGCCTCAGATTATTACATAACTCAGTCACTGTTCATAAATATCCGTTGTTTGGATCCCTGTGCTCTTTTGGCAGACTAATGATTATTTTATCCTCGCTTCATAAAGGAATAAAGATATTCGAGTGAAAATTGGGTACAAGGGATTTTCGTGGAGCTCTATTGATTTAAAATATTTTCGAAAGCCAGCCACTTCCGGTTATATCGGAAGTGACGCCAAACTTCTTTATTCTATTTTTACATTTTTTTTCTCGACTAACTTATCCAGGCTTTATGCCATAAACATTATCATAAATAAAAAAAATAAAAAACGATTAATTTTATGAATATACAGGGTGTCCCGAAATTAGACGGTCATATTTTAACAGCATAATCTTCATCCTAAAATAGGAGTAAAAGTTTATATAAACATAGGTCTGAAAACATTTCTTTTGCGAGATACAGGGTGTTAAAAGTGAAGTCCTGATGACACTCTTTCGTAAATATTTTCTAAACATTTAAAGATAACTAAGTGAAATTTGGTACAAATGCTTACCTTTTTACGCTCTATTTTTTGGACTGAACCACATTTTTTGATCATCTTCATAGGTGGGTAAATTAGGGGGGGCTTAGCGTAAAATTTTTTTTGTTGGCATTTTTTAACATTTTTGACTATAAAATTTGGAAAACCAATATTTTCTTTGTAATAAAGCTACTTCTGTTGCATCTCGCTAGGACGCACCATTTTCAAGAAAAAAGCATTTGAAAATTTCATGATAAGCTATTCAAAAGTGTAAACAATAATTAGTAGGCCTGTGAAATCAAAAATTTTATTTTTTTTACTTTTGAAAACCGGTGACTAAAGAAATTTTAGAAAATATTTACAAAAATGTGCCATCAGGACTTCACTTGTAACACCCTGTATCTCGAAAACGAAACGTTTTCGGACCAATGTTTATATGAACTTTTATTCCTATTTTACGATGTAGATTACGCTGTTAAAATATGACCGTCTAATTTCGGGACACCCTGTATTATAATTATTAAAAATTTATTGGGGAGGTAATCGAGAATTACAGCTCTACTTATGAAAATAAATACAGAGTGTTATTTAATATTTTATGAGTGGAGGTCGTCACTAAAGGGTAAATTTAGGAGGTAATTTTTTCTACTTCATATTAGAATGTTTTAAAAATATCTTTATTCATTTATGAGATATGGCTTAGATGAATTATTATGAGTTTCGTAAATGTTCATGAATGGTCTTTAAACCAACTATTAGTGCGAATTTAAAATTATTATTTTTTCATGAAATAATATACCTTGAGTGTAATTTTTTGTTTTTTCAGGAATGGTTATTGGCTCGTATTTCTGGGGCTGCCTGGCTGATACTAAAGGACGAAAAGTAGTATTGATTGGAGCTCTTCTTATGGATGGCATCTGTGGACTGCTGTCGAGTATTTCTCAAGTATACTGGCTGTTTATGATTATGAGATTCCTGAATGGATTCGCGTAAGATTTTTAGTATATAATTTAAAATAATTAATTTTTTATTGGCTCTAACTTTTATTCACAATTGCATAAATTCAGTTTGCATCGAACAATTATAGTTTTGTCTGGCAATTCTCACAGATATACTGGATGTTTCATTATTTTTTTACATCAGTCTGAAATGGCTTATGTTTTTGTACAAGGTAAATAATTTAAAGATGCAAGTGGAATAAATACGTCGGTGTATAAAAATTTAAAAATTTTTCAATAATTATTAGGCTGAGGGCTTTCAAAGGGCTTATAAATCCATCATCATAGGCGTCCTAAAAGGTGCTACAGATTAATAATTTAAATATTAATTGATGATAAAACTTACGTCTAAAATAGGTTTTCATACATAATGGTTTCCTAATATGGTTCCTAATATGGTTCATATCCTTAGAAACCTAGTATATTCCTTCTCCTCTTCGTTCATTATTTTTATTATTTTTATATATTCGTCAAATGTCAAAATAGGTACGCGTGTTATCTGTTGCAGCGTTAAGAGGACGGTTAAATAATTTATAATAATTACGTTATTTTAATGTTATACCTATGAAGACTAGAGATAAGGAGGCGAATCGGCATGCTCAAAATACGGTCCCAAAAATCACACGTCAATTGAGCTTTTATAATTAATCGCATGGGCGCTGGTACGGTTTACGTAGTTTAAAATACATGGCTTCTTGTGGGAATTATACATAATTTTGTCAAAATAAAAAAAAAAAAATTGTTTATAGCTAAATAAAGCACATAATATACTGTTGTATTTATTTCTAAATAAGTCTTACTTATTTTAATTGATACATTATTTACTATTTATTCCTATTTAAGGAAAATGCAAATTATTGATGATAAATGTTGAAATTTGATAAGTAGGGCTAATTATTTTTTAATTAAAGCCAGATAGGGCTGAGGGCATACTAAGACACGGTTTAAATGAAAATATTTAGTTAGGGATTTTACAAAATTTTATGAAAATAATACAAATCAAATTGTTTATTGCTAACTAAAGCACAGGAAATACTGTTGATTTTAATTATTGTAAATAAGTCTTTGTTTTAATTGCTAACTAAAGTACAGAAAATATTGTTGGTATTAATTATAAATGAGTCTTTATGTTAAACAATATTTACTATTCATTATTTAATTTTATCCAAATAAAATGAAAATTAAGTGTGACCAAATTTGAAAAGGTTTGTTAAATGGTGAAATTTGGTAAGTACAGTTTTGTGGTAATTTTGTATTCGACAACTACAATTTCATCGTCCTGGTGAATAGTTTCTTCAGCAATAGGTTCTAGTATTTTCTTACTTTTTTTTATTCTAACAAATTCAGTTCGGTTCAATGTTGGTTTTCGTCTTTTCCTAATACTGGACAAGTATGAAGGGAGATTCGGGAATAATACATGGTATTGCTTCATTCTTTAATTTCGGCCTTTCCCTTTTTATTTTGTTAACAGTACCATTAGTTAAAATAGTCTCATCAAATTTTAAAATATCATCTTCTAAAAAGTGTAGCTCGCAAACAGAATCATAACTAGACAGTACTTTATCAGCCCTAGGAATCACATGCTGCCATTGTTCTAAACGTTTAGCATCCTATAAAAAAAATTTGCAATGACTAAATTGGATTCTATAGAGAAAAATAACAGTAGTAACTCTTCATATAACATCAAAAAGCATAAAAAAGCAAATTTCCTTTTCTAGTAAGTTAAATTTAATGTGTAATTATTGTTGTTTGTATGTCAGGATTTATGACTTTATTATTTTTTATTATAGAATTTTGTAATTAAATAAACTACACTCCGTAAGATACTATTTTACAATAAATATATATATTATTTAGAAATAAAGACATTATTTTACTTACACAAGGAGCTTTAAAAGACTTGGATTTTTATCTCCTTGTGTTTTCTTTAATTTTATATCGGATTTATATCCCGTTTTTTAACCCGGAACGAAGCAAATCCTGCTTTGCCGTTTTTTTGTTACTCATTGTTACTTGTAAGTCAGGTTCTTTATTTCAGCCTATTTTTATTCTTTTCACTAAATTTTACAAAAATCACTTTAATTCTCATTGACTTGCATAGAAAATAGACGTCGTTATTTTGCCACCCGCCAACTACAGTAGTTTTTTGGAACTCCATAAAAATAGGGACGGAAATTTGAAATTTGGCCGATTCGCCTCCTTATCTCTAGTCTTCATAGTTATACCTCATAAATGGTTTTACGCGGGTTCGGTGAGACTACCAACCCAATTAATATTAATGTGTTTCTTGTTTTAATCTACAAGCTTATGTATCTTGTCATTGGTCTCATGAGGAGGGTATTTTACAAGTAAGCTTTATCCTCAATTAATATTTAAATTGTTAATCTGTAACGCCTTTGATAATGGTTCTGTAAGCCTAAAGCGCTCAGTCTAATTTTTAATAAAAACAATTAATTTTTAGAGATTGACGTATTCATTCTACTTGCATTTCACTAGTAGTGGGTACACCGCTCTCAGTCTGCTTAAATAAGTTTAAATTTTCTATTTCTTGACTAGTTTTCTGTCATCTGTCGTCTACATCGTCATTTCTTCTTACCTTATTATTAAACGCAGTTTTTTAGCGGGGGGGGGGTGTTTGTTCTATGATTTAAACAGTATTAAAATGAACGAAAATAAATTATTTTTATTAAAGCACAAAATCAACAGTTGCAAACTTCCAATACATATTGTACTACTTGTCTACTGTCAATGTCTGCGGCTTCGCAATGCGAGGTGTCGAGGCATCACGATTACTTAGAAAATGGCTAGACTACACTTGGTTTTGCCAGGACCGTATCTAGATTTACTGGGTATAGCGTTATAATTTTTATTTTTACATAATTTAGGTTTTTATTATTACTAGTGTTCGCCCAGTGGTCGAATTTCGACCATAATCGTTATTAAAGATCTGGGGAAAATATTAATGCATTTTTTTATTCTTATATATTCGTTGATTGTAAATCTGCGACCATAAACTTTTACGAAACAACATAGTTTAGTACCATCATAATTAAATAAAATAACAGTAACTCACAATCTAAAAACCCTCATTTATTTTGAGGTTACTCTTGAGGCCCCTAAAAAAATAGGGTTGGATTAGAATAACTTCTATTACTCTACTATATCTAAACTCTCATGAACCATATCCAAAATAATCAATAATAGCCCAGAAATGGTATCCAATGCCTCAAAATACTCGAATTATGAAGTAGGTAAAGTGACTTGTCGTTTGGTGGTAAAATTTTTTCGTCTCAAACTTCAATTCGTCATACCAAGTTAAGTCTAGGGGTTCTAGATATCTACCTTCTCTGTGGTGGGGGTAAAGTACGGGAGGGGAAAGTTTGGCAGTTTAAAATCATTTCAGGCGGAGCCCTTGGGCCCCGCTTTTAGTTTTTTCTCTATCGCTTACCATTTAGGCATGGCAGAGAAAGAGGGGGTGAAGGAATAGGGGAAGTATTTTTTTTCACTTCGAAATCAAATCGTAGCTCAAAAATATAAATGCAGCAGCTTGTGGCTCAAAATACAATGAAATTTAAAAAAATTACCTTCGGTTTTTCCTTGACAAACTGTAAAATTTGTGTTAGTAAACAGCAACATTACAGCTCGCTTCAGGTAAGCTAAAATTAAGCATTGAAAATGTGGTTCAGCTTGAAAGTCGTACCCTAACCCAAAATACATATTTTGAACTATTCATATATTTATAATTATTTAAATAAAAAGAAATTCATCCCAATTTTATGGAAATAATTCTATTGAAATACCTTAATATTTTTCCCAACTCATTTGTTTTGTTTTGCCATTTTGCCCAAACCATTTGTTTAGTTTTGTTTTGAGGCGTCTCTGGCTTTTTCTTTATTATTGTGAAACTGTAAAGATCATTACGTCACCCTTTCTCACCGCGATGAAGTTAACTTTAAGAAATAAATAGATGATAATAGATAATCTCACGTGATAACAAAATTGCAAATATTTTCTATCGTCTCGCTTTGTATTTTTAGCACCCCTTTATCTTTATCTTTATCGGTTGTAAGCAGGTAGGGTTAGGTTTGGCCCAGAACACCGCGGCCTCTTGGATCTATTGTATTCCCCTGCTTTCCCCGCATTCAGGTATTATCCCATCACATGAAGGTGTTTAAGCAAGCAGTGGCCCGTTAGTAATCCCACAATTGTGGATATCTGAGGCCTTCAGAGTTGTACTGCCTCAGTAGTTGGTTCTCTTAGCATAAGCTTACTGATTCTGTGCCCTCTTATCTGTTGCCAGTGAATTTGGTGTTTTGTGGTTATCCACCTGTTACTGCCTGTCGAGCAGAGGTTTTGCTTATCCCTCTTTGGCGAGTCCATCAGCCTTTTTATTTGCTTGGATACTTTTGTGCTCTGGTACCGACGCTAGTTTTACCTTGTTGTGGGTTTCCAGATCATTTAGTATTCCAAGACCGTTTCAGACCAGCTTTGACTTGATTCTGTTTAAATCAAGCGCCTTTAAGGCTGCCTGATTATCTGAGAGAATTATTATGGTTTGTTTTGTGTACTTCCTTCTTAAATTCTCTCGTACACACAATTCGATTGCATGTATTTCAGCCTGAAATACAGTGGCATGTTTTTCCAGTGAGACGATGATGTCGCATTTAGGTTTAACTCCATGTACGCCAGAGGCCAGAGCCTGTTCCCGTGTTAGTTTTAGATCCATCCGTATACCATACGAGACCGCTAAGCAAGTATTTATCTATTTTCTTATTTACCTAATTCCAGTTACAATTGACCTGGAAGAGTCTGTTAAAGGTAAGGAGGGGTGTCATGTCATCTAATCCCATATTTAATATAGAATCATTTACTTCATGTGTTATTCTGGTATGTTTTGTATGTCCCATAGGGTTTCAGTTGTTGGAGATTTCCAGTCTGTATGCACTCATTCTGGCCTCCCACTTTATGACTAGGTCAAGGGGTGGGAGGTTTAGAATGATTTCCATAGAGGTTGTCGGTGTACTTCTCAGTGCTCCTGTAATACAAAAGCATGCCAGCCTCTGTACTCCTGAGAGGGTATTGAGGGCTATTTTCTGGTTTACTTTTGGCCACCAAACAACCGCTCCATAAGTTATTATGGGTCTTGTTATTGCCAAATAGAGCCAGTGGACCATTTTTGGTTTGAATCCCCATGTTTTTCCAAATGCCCGGTCCCCTACAATGAGAGACATTTTACATTTGTTGGTCACTTTTTGTAAGTGTTGGTTCCAAGTAAGTTTGCTATCTAGGATTAGACCCAAATATGTTACTTGGTTCGTTTTGTTTAGCCTTCCTCCAAACAGAGTCGGAGTTTCTAAAACCTCCAACCTTGTTTTCCTAGTAAAGGTTATGAGTTGTGCCTTGTCAGGGTTTAACAAGGGGTTTTTCCTAACGTACCACATTTCTGTCAGCCTAAGAGCTCTTTGCATGAGTTCAAAGACTGTGGTTTGGTGTTTCTCTCAGATAAGGATGACTGTGCCATCGGCATATTCTTGGGCGTACAGCCCTTGATTGTTTAGTGTTTTCAGCAGTTCATCTGCCACTAGGTTCCACAGTAGAGGAGAAAGGACTCCACCCTGTGGGCATCCCCTGTCTATATTCACCTGCATGGTTTTACTGAACTTGCCTGTGCCTGTACTTGCCGTCCGCATAACATGTCTTCTATCCACCAGCAGATGGTGTCTTCGATTCCATGTTTGCGAGCGGCAGCTACCATTGATTTAAATGAGGTATTATCAAAAGCTCTTTTTATGTCAAGAAATGCTTCTAGGACTATTTCTTGGCTACTGAGTCTTCCCTTTATCTTGGTTACAAGATGATACAGAGCAGACTCACAAGATTTTCCAGATTGATAGGCATGTTGGTTTGTATGGAATGGCCTCTCTATCAGAGTGGTTTGCCGGACATGCTGATCAATCAGTTTTTCAAATCTTTTCAATAGAAATGACGTCAGACTTATTGGTCTATAGGCCTTTGCCACGGCATACGTTGGACCCCCCGGTTTAGGTATAAAGACAACTCTGCTTTATTTCCAGGTATTTGGCACATGTTTATGCACCAAACTTGCCCTGTACAGCCTACAAATATGCGGGGCCAACGTTTCTATTGCCTGTTGCAAAATCACAGGCAGTACCCCATCTGGTCCCGGTGATTTGTATGGATTGAAGGTGCGTATGCCCATGTTACTTTCTCTATTGTAACCACCCGTTTAGCAGTTTCCCACTCTTGGCTGGAGACTCTTTTTTGAGAGTTCCAGTTCGTGTGGGTTTAGTTTGCTGCATTCGAGTTTGTTGTGCAATCAGGGAAATGAGTTTTAAGAAGTAGTTCTAATGTTTCAATTCCAGTTTAAGTGTATTCCCCTGTTTGGGTTTTTAAAGTCCCCAAAGGGTTTATTGGATCTTTTGCTAGAATGCGGTGGAGTCTGCATCTTTCAGTTGTATTTTCAATTTCCTGACAGAATGTTCTTCATGAATCCCTCTTAGATTTTCAAAGAGGTTTGTTATACTCTGTGAGTGTTTTAGTGTATTCTCCCCATTCATTCGTCTTTTTAGCCTTATTAAAAAGTTTACGTGTTTTCCATCTGAGTTTGGCGAGTTCGATGTTCCACCAGCTCACCTCCCTAAAAGTTTTCCTCTTCTTTAACGAGCAGTTATTGTGATATGATGTTATGATTGCGTCCCGTAGTTGTTCTGCAACTTCATCTATATTATTTTTAGTATTAAAAGTTATTTTAACGGTTTTTAACACTGCCCCCAGCTCCACTCCGTATCCAAACCAATCTGTGTAGTTTGCGTACTATTGGTATGACCATTCTTTACTTCTATAGGTATGGGGCATTTACATTTAAGTATGAATGCTTATTTAAGCTATTTTTCTGTACGAGCCTGTTATTTATCATTTTAGGTCTTTCTATTGATCCTTCTATCTAACCTAATTTTAATTTTGAAAATTATATTATAATACAGCCATTACAAGGTCCATCCATAGGAGAAAATTGCCAAATAGCAACTAGAGACGACTATTTCAGTGTTTTAATCAATATTAAACGATCCTCTACAAATATGACTGCTACCTACACCTATAAGGAAATAATTTTATTAATAGCCATATTATTTTTAGCATAACTGGAGCCATGGGAATATGTTTTCCATATTTAGGTGAATTTCAACCAAACAAATACCGGGAGAGGATTTTGTGTTGGATGGAATTGTTTTGGACACTGGGAGTTATCGCTTTACCTGGTTAGTATAGACATAATTATATACAGGATGTAACAAAAACGTGGGTCGTAAATATCAAATAGAGTCCACAATGGGTTGGTCAGATCTAATTTATCAATATATAAAAGTAAATACAATGAAAAAAATTAAAACCTGTTGAAGTTACCAAATCAAAACTGATAGCTCGGAAACTTTATAATAAAATTATATTATCGATTTGACCTAAATTTCGTTATTGCAACTTTTAAGAGTCTGATAAATTCAATAAAACCTACATAAACTTTCATTTAAATTTTTTTTTGTGCATTTGTAGGCATTGCATGGTTAATAATCCCATTGGAATTTGAATATGTGACAGAAAGCTTCAGATTTAAAAGTTGGAATCTGTTCGTGGCAGCATGCGCCATCCCCAGCATTTGTATTGGTTTGTGGCTGTTCTTTTTTCCAGAAAGTCCTAAGTTTCTTCTTGAATGTGGAGAAGCAGATGAAGCACTAGACGTGCTGAGAGACATGTATGCCAGTAATACTGGAGACGATGGTGCCAATTATCCTGTAAGTACTAGCAGTAGCTCAGCTGAGAATATTACTAGACGAGGCGATAGCTCGACCATTGCTTGTAGATTTTATTTACACTATTTACAATTAACTTGAGTTGCACAACAGCAGGTACAATACCTGACCACTTTATGTTGTTGCTCGTTCACTTACGTCTTTTTACTTCAGTCTTCGTATTCACACTGGTCTGTTGACAAGATTGAGAGGGGATACACGAATTGTCAGTAATGCCAACTTAATATTTGAATTTTAGTGATGCTATATTGGCCTGAACAACCATGGCATCCACAAGAAAAAGGAAATTGAATATATAATTCTTTAACGCCCAAATCACACTCTTTTAAATTAATGGTGTAAATACTTAATTTTTTTCGTTCTAGATTTTAAGTTTACGAGAAAAAGTACGCACTATGAGCGTAATATCGCAACAAAGTACCCGAAGTATTCGTAGTTTAAGAATTAGAAAGCCCAAAGAGTTGAAGCTCTTGTTAGGAGAAATTTGGGAACAAACCAAAGCGCTATGCAGCCCTCCACACTTAAGATATACAGTGTTAACTTGTATGATACAATTTGGACTCACTACGAGGTAAGTATTTTTATTTCTTATCATGCGATATAGGCTTTTGATAAATAATCCTTTGACAAGCTATCCTGTTACATGTTATTTTCATAGAGTTATTTGCTTATCAGTTATCCTGTTACCAGTTTCTTATAATTAGTTATCATTTTACCAGTTATGTGTTATCTCTACCATAAGCATAGTAACTAGAGTCGCCAAAAATTGTTAGATTATACTTTTGAAAAGAGTGAATCAGATATTGAGGTGCAACTTTTAAGGCAAGAAAATTTTAAAATATTATTAATAGGTTTGTTCCCGAAGCGAGTTCCTAACATATTGAGTATGCGCAGTACAAAATAACTGTTCCAGCAGAGCAAAGTTCCAAACAAATTGAACTTGTTTGGTGTTTCCGCAAGATTAAAAACGTGTTCATAATATGTTTGTTATAAGTTTTTTCCTACGACCACTTAGGAAAGTGACACATATCACACTATATAGTCCTATGGAAAGTGCCGTATATCACACGCGTATGAATAAGAATTTACTTTCCACCCGTGTACGAATATGCTACTTTACGCAGTACCTAGCTGTCACAAAATGTGAAACATATAATTTCTATTTTGATCTGTGTAATGTCCATATTAATACTAAAATCGATATGATTGTTAAATTATTGAAATTGCTGTAAATTAGATCCTAGATATTTATCTTTAACAATTATTATTAAAATAATTTTAAAATAACTAAGGGCCATTTGCACCGTTAGTCGTTAAGAACTAAGCGAAGCTTAAAGTGACATTGATAATGCAAAAATGTCAGTTTAAGCTTGCCTTAGTTTTTAACGACTACCGGAGCAAATGGACCTAAGATATAGTTGCTTTTTATTCTGGTTAAACACATAAGCGATTAGATCAATCAATTACCGTAAGGCCTGTTAGCTCAGTTCGTAGAATTTACGAAAAAGCTAAAGTTCCTCTGGTTAATGATTATATTTTAAAGTTGTCGTTGAAATTTTACAAATCCCACTTGAGAGAAAGTATTCTTACTCGCGACATCATTAACACACACATTCAAGAGCCTATGGCTAGAAAACATGGCTTAATCTACGAAGCCCTTCTACCACATCTATAGGACATTGATATATTTTTGACGCCTTTTTGGCATTCACTAAATATGTCTTATACTTACATTATATATTTAGATGTTGTTCTCAATTGTTTAGAAAAGGTTTTTGCCAGATTTTTCCTTTGAATAGATTACTAAAACTTTCAGTTTCACTCAATTATTTAAAATATCATTACAATTATCTAGAAGAAATAAAGTTATAAACAGTAATGAATCCAAAAGCCTTTGAAGGCAGAAGGGAATCGTCGACATTTCATTTCTACACATAGCAAAGATAAGAGAACTTCATGGTGCCAGTCCATCCGGCGAACCTCAAACTATCAAGGCCATAGTGCTAAGATATTGGGGGTAATATCACAGAGAAGTCTAGATAATACCTACTATGTTACTCTATATTTGCTATATACTATTATGTAACTAACAAATTAATTAATATATTATGTATGTTAACTTTGCAATTTGAGACCGTCGAGCGACCGCGTTCAAATCCTGGCCGGGCCAGAGTTTTTTTTATTTTTTTTTGTTTTTTTTTTTGTATTTATTTAGAAAATATGAAAATTGAATAAATACGATTATTGTTGATTATTTATTTAAATACATTTTAATTATTATAATAATAACCTGGTTTTACATTTTTTGATAAAATTATTTTGTGGTCGTAGAAAAAATATTGTACATTACTTGTGTGAAAAGTGATATTCCACACTCGTGTGATAGTCGCACTCGGCTTGTGCCTCGCGCGACAATATTTCCCACTCGTGTGAAAAATGTCGCTTTCCACACTATATCACATCTAGTATCTTCAAAACACAATTCTATGTGCGTATTCTCAAACAAAAATCACTTAACCTATTTTACCACTTTTCCTGTTACCAGTTGTCCTGGTACCAGTTGATTGGACTTGATTTATATCTTACACCACTAGTTACATAATGTACAACTTAGACTCCGTTTAGTATAACTTCCATTTATTATATTATTTTAATAATTACAATAAATGGTTCATTTACGTAATTTTTTTTTTTTTTTTTTTAGTTATTATACTTTAATGATTTGGTTTCCCGAATTATTCTATCGTTTCGAAGAATTCGAAAATCTACATCCAAACGAAAGAGCTACGGTTTGTGAAGTATCCTCTGTGGTAGTGCCTACAAATGCAACGCTTGGCCATACGGAGTATTGCGGTGAACCTATTGCAGATTCTGTATTTCTCCATACGTTGATCATTGGTTTGGCGTGTATACCAACCAGTTTCTGGCTACCACTCTGTGTTCACAGGCTGGGAGCCAAGTTTTTCTTAGGTAAGCTATTATTATACAAATTTATAACTATAGAATATCATAATAATCTGATTACGCATTTTTTTTTCTTCGTAAGAATTCTTAAATTTTTGCAGTTCTCTTTTTTATTTAGTAACAAAGATCATCATTATCATCAAGCCAAGCCTTAATTTTTTAAGTCTGTTTTAGGACTGCCATTTTATCCACTATTTATCTTTTTTATCTTTTCCTTTGCATTCATCTTATTTGTTTCGTTTTTGTCTTACTTCTCTATACCTTTTTAGACTCGGTTCTAATATTGTTCTTATTTTAATTCTATCCATAATTTTTGTTCTCTTCCTACCTTATGTTTGATTTCTACTTAAAATTCTTCTACTCACTCTGTTTTTTAGTTTCCTATTTTTTCCTCATGTATTTTGTTTTTTTTTTCTTTCCGAACTACCATGATTTCTCATCCAGATATTTTTTAACTGTTAATGGATCTTCTCTATTATCCTAGTCCCTCTAAAGTGTAGCTGTACCTCAGCCCTCAAAGCCAATTATTCACCTATTTCAAGGTCCCATTTATTCACTCATTCACTCATTTCCATTGACTCCACATTTTAGACGATTAAACGCTAATCCCATTGCATCATATCCCAGTAGGTTACCCATCCAAAACTCGACCAGAGAAGTTACTGCTTAGAATATTGACTAAAATTACATATTTTTAGTTTTCAGTTTGATAGTAGCAGGAGGAGTAACAATTGGGTTGTACTTCGTTAGTTCCACAATGGCCAATTTGGTACTTTCCTGTATATTTGAAGCTTTAACTAGTTTAGGAATCAGTACTGTGTACTGCGTTATGGTTGATCTGTTTCCAACGAATTTAAGGTAAGCAGTTATCGATATTTTTATTTGTCTATCATTTCCAATAAATATTAGTTTTGTGTTATTTATTTACAGGGTAACTATTTTAGATACGAGGTTCAAAATAATGTTACCAAACAGAGCTATCCTGTAGACTTTATCATTCCAGGGTTAATTAAGTTCTCGACTATTATTAACATGCCATCAAAGACCACAATCCAAATGCGTCATAATGTAATTAAAATGACATCAAGTTCAAAACACTTGTTAAAAAAGATCCTTGTAATCTATTATTGTTAATTTCTTAAAACTGAAATAAAAAAAATTAATAGTGTCGGTATTAAGCAGTTTGCACCACTCTTAATGAAATTGATGACAGAATTATTAATCCTGGATAACTGGATTGACCAAGATTGTATTTGTTTGTCAAAGCTTTTTAATTGGTTAAAATTATTTTAATTGGTTTCGAGTAAATAATAAATTATTGCAAGAGCGAGTTTTTTTTTATAACTCATTCGAGCTTATTTGCAAATGTGGAATTGAAAGTGAATTACAAAATTTATAAAAAAATAGGGTTCTAAAAACTACTAAGTTAAAAGAGGCTATAATGCTCCAATAAACTTAAAAGAATTAAAAAACTGTGGGGTAGTTGATAAAGTCTTTGCTTAAGGCCTAGTATACAGAATACCTACTCTAAATAATATGCTTTTTGCATTTTTTCAGAAGGTCTTTTATTATTGTACCAGTCTTCCGTTTACAAACCAAATATGAGCAAGTTCTTCTTCTTCTTCTTCTTCTTCTTCTTCTTCTCCTTCTTCTTCTTCTTCTTCTTCTTCTTCTTCTTCTTCTTCTTCTTCTTCTTCTTCTTCTTATTCTTCTTCTTCTTTTTCTTTTCTTCCTCCTCCTCTTCTCCTTCTTCTTTTCTTCTTCTTCTTCTTTTCTTCTTCTTCTTTTCTTCTTCTTCTTTTCTTCTTCTTTTCTTCTTCTTTTCTTCTTCTTTTCTTCTTCTTTTCTTCTTCTTTTCTTCATCTTTTTTTCATCTTTTTTTCAACTTTTCTTCTTCTTTTCTTCTTCTTTTCTTCTTTTTTTCTTCATCGTTTCTTCTTCTTTTCTTCTTCTTTTCTTCTTCTTTTATTTTTCTTTTCTTCTTCTTTTATTCTTTTTTTCTTCTTCTTTTCTTCTTCCTCTTTTCTTCTTCTTCTTTTCTTCTTCTTTTTTCTTCTGCTTTCCTATTCCTTTTATCGGTTTTCATTGCATATTATTGCTTTCTTTTTTTCCCGGTTCCTCCTCTCTTTCATTTATTCTGGATTGTGTCCCTAATTAACCTATTTTTTATACTGGCTTCGTTTGCCTTATGTTCCTTCTAATATCTGCATTCCTCATTATGTTCCAATTGCTTCTTTCTGCTCTATTTCTTGAGGGCATTTATTCCATTGCATTTATTCCTTAGATATTTATTCTCGGTTTTTCTGTAACGTCAAGTATTCGTTTGCTTAGTATATTATTGCGCTTTGTATTTTTAGTTTAGTTTTTGGTCTATATTTATTTATATTTTAGTATGATTTTATTATACCTACTACTAAGATTTCTGTTAGAAATTAGACAGTCATTGGAATTATTCAATTATTCAAAAATAAAATGTAAAACTAATGTATCTAATTAAATTTTTCCAGGGTGATGGCAGCTGCGTTATCTTTGACATTTGGTAGAGGCGGAGCACTGTTAGGAAATCTTCTTTTCGGTTTCCTTATAGACTTAAACTGTGTCATACCCATAGTATTATTTGCCTCAATGCTCTTAGGTAAGTTTCTATAATTATATTATTTAACGTATTCCCAAATGAGATCAAGAGCAAGTAAGTTGTGAGCTACATAATTTTTATCTAGAGTTGACCATGGAACTTACTGCGACAAATGATAATTCTGTGTTCGGCGTTTAAAAGGTCATAAGACGTTTTTTACGTAAATGAAGTTTTTAGTCAAGATAGGTTTTAGAAGAGTCTATATTTTAGGCAGTTAACAAGATCTGAGCCTATATACGTTGTAAAGTAATAAAAATAAGGATTAAACATAAACAGTAAAATTTTGTATCATAAAACAGTTAAAACAAAGATGTCTACATATTTTTTAATTTTCACAGGACCAAATCTCCTAAAAAGATCGTCGATTTGGATTCTGAAAATCCTTATTGATGTGTACTTTTTAAGCGCCGCCCACAGAATTATACTTCTTGGATTTTATTTAGGAGGCGTGTGTGGTTGACATACAAGTCACATCTCCACATTTTTATGTCAAGACCAATTATATGAAGTACCACTGGCTACTGGAAGTTCTTATAATTCTATATGGGTCGCCATATTGCCCTATAGAGCGGTCGAACAAAATGTCTTTACCCGACAATTACCATCGAGGTGGTAGAAGCCCACCATATAACCACTACAAAAATGGGGCATTTAGAGACACCTTACTGCAACCTTATTTACAGGACTTATTAACCTACAGGACTTTGACTTCAGAGGCTAGCTATCCCCCGATATCTGCAGCGACAACTTGCAGGAATTTGCTGAGCTGGGAAGCTGGCTACCTCTGATACCTGTCGGTGACAATCAGTAGGTATAAGACGAGTTAATAACCTGTAGGACTTTCTTGAGCAGCAGATTTTTGACAAGTTGAGAGGCTGGTCCTATATGTACCTGAAGGATGCACAATGGGCCTTAGGCCTATATGCTGTTTATATTTCACCCTTCTTACCGTACAGTTACAAAGATGGGTTGATATAGAATATTTTTTTCTGAATTTTATTTCTTCAGTCGCTAATATTCTGATTTTTTAAGTTTCTGGTAAATTAGAATTAATGCGTGAACTCAAAGGTGGTAATAAATCAGGAGGAAGGTAAATAAAGCGCTAGCGAGATATCATAAGACGAGCAGGTTTACATAGGTCTCGCAAAAAGATGGAAAAGGTGGACAAATAAGTATATCTGCATTTTTAACGTGTAGACGGTAGTTTAACTCACTACACTTAGGCCTCACTAGGCCCATTGTGCAGCCTCTTAAGTAGATAGACATATCCTAGCTCGTGACGCAGCCTACAAATTTAATATAGTTGACAACGTCGCAAAGAATTGCTTCTTTTATATCGGCCGGTGTTACCCAATTCTCGCCGAACACAAATCTTCTAATAAATGAGAGCGTCGGGCAATCATAGAGGATATGCTCTTATTTTCTGGTTTGCACCCCCAGAGTGCGGATTCTGACAGCCCCATGATATAGAGATGCTTTCGTACTTGGCAATGTCCAGTCAGAATGCCTGTGATCAGGCGCAGATTCTGTCTAGTCATAGTCAAGTATTTGTTCGCTCCAGTGTTGTCAGGATAACTTAAAAGCTCCCTGGTAAGACTGCAGCATCTTGTTTCATTCTATCTTTTCTTGAATTTCACAAAAGAATGTTCTTTAATAAGGTTTTCACTACCGATGTTGTCAGTCCAATAGAAGGGCCACCTCCAAAAAGTATTTGGTTGGCTGCCTTCTTAGCAAGTGAATCAGCAAGACGGTTACCTTTCAATGTAATGTGACGTTTGATACATTCTATTATGACCATGTCGTTGTTGATGGATACTTCGGCTAAAGCTTCAGAGCTTCGTAGCATTCTAGTACTAACCCTGAATAAATCTGTAGTCTGTACAGGGTGAGCAGTGCTTGTTTGTTCTGTTATAACTTTTATACGTCTCATAAAAGATATATCTCGATGAGATGCAGTCCATGTGAGAGCGTATTGAACGCCTCCTGCCAAAAGCGACATCTCACCTCACCAGATCCTACAACAGGTTTAATTCCAACCTCCTTGATGTAAATATCAAGGAGTGAGAATTAGAATAACTTTTAAAGCCCTGGTCGGTGTGGTTTTCATGACTTCTTTTATTTTAAGACATGCTGTTCTTTGAATTTGTTCGTTTTCTTTTTCCTCTTAATGGCATCTTTCATCCTAACCGCAATTAAATCGGAGGTGGAAGGGTGCCATTGAGTGAGCTTTATATTTTCTAGGAATGTAAATGGCTGTCCTAGGTTGTTGGCTGCTGGGAAATTGAAATTGTACCATTTAGATTTTTTAGACCTACAATTTTGGTTGTTATAATCCAGGGTTCCTGAATGAGTGCTACTGTATCATGTAGCTCATCAAGACCCTTTTGTATTGCAAGCTTTCCTACGAAAGGTGGCCTAGTGGGGCTCCTTAGAGTTCTAACCGATCGCGGCCTTTTCTTGTTCTTGGTTTTGAGTCATGCTCCTGGCCTCTTGTGGAGGCAGAACTAGCGTCGCTACCCAAATACTTGATTGGACTGCTTAGGTTGAGTTTGTAGTGAGGGCGTATCCTGCCGGTGGCAGTAGCCGTAGCTCTGCATGCCTTCAGTTTAGCCTTCTTTCTCCTTTTTGCTTCAGAACAAGATATCCCCTTGCCTTTCTAGTGCCTTTGGCTTTGAGGTGTACTGCATTACCATCCTCGTATTTTGGAACTGGATGTCGCTGTCCAGCCTCCTGTGCTAGAGTTAAACTTTGTTGTCCAGCCTCTTTAACTGGAGGTGAACGTTGACGTCCAGGCCTCCATTGCTAAAGGTGAAACTTCAAGTCCAACTTTCTTTGCTAGAGGTGGACGTTGACGTTCAGCCTCCTTTGCTGGAAGTGAGGGTTGACGTCAAGCCTCCTTGGATTTGTATGGGTTTGGATCTATAAGGTTCCCATGAGTAGCTAGGGAAAGAAGAGTCGACCGACAAATAGGTATAATGGAAGCACGTGGTCGATCTTTAGCGCTGGATATCTAAGATTAAGAAGATGAGGTAAACGCAGACAATATGACACAATAATGACAATGTGAAACAACAATAACTAAAAAGATTCATATAAATGAGTAGACAAAATTAATTTCCAAATATTTTCTTTTTTTTAATCGTTTTATCTTTAAAGGCTACATTATTCTTTAAAAATTTGAGGGTCGGTGAAGAAAATCTATTTTTTTTTAATGATTACACAAGATTCTAATGATAATTTTCGTGTTCTACAAATAGTTGTTAACTACATATATCTAACATTTTTATTCTTTTTTCTTTCAGTAAGTGGACTGCTTTGCTTTTTGTTGCCGAGCACAGGAAAAGGTTCACTGGAATAAAGTGGAAAAAATACCTACATTTTGAGGTTAATGAACATTCTGCAACTAATAATGCCGTGTTTAATGAAACATCTATACGCACAATTTTAGATCAACAATATTAGTGAGAGTCGTTGCTTTTTTTAAAAATCACCAGTTTTACAACGACGTAATAAAAATCTAAAAAGAAACATATTTTTAATAACGTGATTATATTTTTATATAAACATATACAAACATCAGCTGCGTCTCTATTTTTTTTTGTAATTTTTAGTACAGCGTACGCTTCTTTTATTTTTAATGTCGAATGTTTATTATCAAGCATTTCTAATATTTGCATATTGTTAGGACCACTTATCTATGTTAAAAATGATCTCAGAGCGAGGACGGTCCTATTAAAAAACTGACAGGAGTAATAACCATCTCTTCTTAAAGATTTGAAATAAACTAATGTGATCAAATAATAACAAAAATATAAGGCACGAGGTAGGGAGCGATTACAATAAGAAGAACACCGCTACGCCATAACTATTATTTCGATTTTTCAATATATATCATATCAATATATAGGCGGCAGAAGCCAACAAATTACTCTTACTGTGTTTATCTTATTGAAATTGGACCCTAGTATTTATTTAATCAATATATTCTCTTTTAAGACTTATTCATTTAGCACATCGTTCCTAAAGTTGTTGTACGCCCTATAAAAAAATGTTTGGTTTTGGTCTGCAAGCCGTTTCTCAACGTCACATATACGACTTCATCAAAGTCCTTTACTTTTCAAGAGTTTCTCAAGTTTTGAAAACCAATAATATTGTGATGGTGTTAAATACGGAAAATAGGGTGGATTATCAACCAATTGAAATCCAATATCATAATTTTTTACATCGTAAACAATAATTGTGCGTAGGCGTATTATCACATTTGGCCAATTTTCCGCGGCGGTGTTTCCCAATTTCCTAGCGTAATCTATTTAGCAACTCTTCATAATATGATCTCGTGATAGTTCCCAGGTAGCAGAGTAACGTTTATTGAACGTAATTTTTTTTGGTCAGATTCATAACCAATATAACCTTTAAAATTACGTCATATATTTGTAAAAATGACGTGTATAAGTCAGTGGAATACTTTAATATGACATCAGGAGAATACCCTACTGAGATACCGTTGGTATGTGATAGCTGGACTAAATTTAGCTTGGTTAGTGATAAAATAAACAATAAAAAAAGGTTTGTACTGTTTAAAAACGACCCATAAGCATTTAAGGTCCGTATTTATAAACAGAACTCAGCTGAGTCGAAGTTTGGTTACAACATATCTAAAGTTCCAGGTTGTTCCGGTGTTACACTGGAATTTAGAGATGGGTATTACCAAATTTGTAACTGTTAAGTACATTTACGGATTTGTTACTATCATCTCTAAATTCACGCTGTATAACCGAACCTAAATTATGAGGTAGTGGAAAAATATATTCTCAGAATCAAACATTATTTGATGTAAATAATTTTTAAAATAAAGGAGAATCAGTAAAAGATGCATTAATAGTTAATTATTCCGAATTACTACTAGATAAATGATTTTTTGTATTTTGATATAAATTAATGTTCTGTCTTTATATATGTTTTTATCTGCCAAAATGACATATCTATGTATGCCTATATTCATGGTATTTTGAATAATCGTAGTTTAAAAAATTAAACACTTAAATACAAATTTGTAATAAAAAATAAATTTTATTTGAAAAATAAAGCGAATATTCTAAAAATAAAAGCAATACATATAAAAAACAATAAATTTAAATTTATTTGCTGAGGTTCTTCACGTACATTTCTCTTAAAAAACGTTTTACAATATGTAAAATACGTAATATGAGATATTTATAAATTATTCAAATTTTCATTTTGTATCTTTTAATAATAAGTGGTAGAATTGAGATGAAAATATCGGTATAATAGAAATATTTCAAAATATTGAGACAGACATTACAGTAATATATCTTTGGGTACACTTTAGTTATAGGAATGGCTTCTTCTACATTTTCCTTTGCCGTTTGTTTACTGTGGTTTTCCTAAACATCTCTAAAAAAATAGGATTAAATAGTACCTTGTCTGTAATTTTATAACGAATAGCCCATATTTTGATTTTCTCTAAACTGTTATATTGATCAGCTACTTTATTACTAACAATATGTAATTCATTAGCATTAGATTTCTTTAAACTAATATTATCCTTTACATAAAGAGATGTTAAATTAAACTCAGATTCTTGAATTTACTCGAGTTTTTTCCTAGTGAAAAGAATTACATTCCTTTGAAGCTAAAGCTAATGCTCTATCAATATTTGATTTACACTTCTTATAAAATATTTATTCATTTTTATAATTTTAATCACCATACTGTTACTACAGAAGAACCATATCTCTTATAATTAATCAGACTTACCCCTTCGATGGGTATATCATGAGTCTTATAAAAACTATAAAAACTCTTCATCTCTCTCATCTCTCACAAATCTGACAATAGTTTGGTTGTGTCATATTCTTCATTTTCTTTTTTCATTAGTGGCCTTCACCATTTGGAATATTTGGCTAGGGTATCATGGATAAAAATATTCCTCACATTCTAATCTCCCATGTAACAAAGACTTACGTTCGATGAGAGGTTAAATTATGAGTGGAGCCAATAAGATACTATTAGGTAATTTTTACCACCAACTACCCATACGTAGGCACATACTTTTGACTTTTAGAATTATTCTTCTGTCGTTTTCTTGTCTACGTTATAAGAAAACTGTACATACTTATTTTATCTATGAAGAGAAAGATAACTCGATATCGGAGGTTCCATTAGAGACCGGTTACATTTGTATGATCATGATTTTAAGTTACATTCCGGAGTTCTAAGTTCTCGTGTTTCTTTAATATAAGTCTTTATAAACTAAACAAGGGTGATCCTGGTTACTTTGTCTTTATTTATGCTTATAGATAATTAAACAAAATAGTCAAATATAACATACAGAGATATCTATAACATATGAAAAGTGAATATTCTGGGTATAACAAAACTCTTTCTAGAATGTAGATTATGAAATATATTACATGAATATTTCATAAATATTGCAATATATTTTGGCAAATAGGCAGATTGATGGCATAGTGTGCTGTCCCAGATAACAATTATACATTCTCAGCATATTCTTAGTATATACTTTTTAAGAATACGCATATGCTGAGAATATACTGTATTTGTATTTGGTACATTCTCAGAATATGCTAAGCATATGCTACGAGACGTTGTTTATACTTGCTATACAGATACTGAGAATGTACTTCAAGTATGTGTACAATATGCAACAGGTATCTACTTTAATTTGATAGTACATTCTAAGTATATGCTAAGTATTTAAATATAGCATATGCTAGGCATCTACTAGACACCTTAATACAGGATGTTTCATTAATATTGAACATTAAAGAATAAGTGTATATAATGAGTCTTTATTTCAAAGAATTCATACTTATTTTTATTACAAATACTATATTTGGCCTTAACCAATTAATATTTTATTGTATCAATGGCTTGAGTTTCATTTGCTTGATTCCATTGGATCTTCATTGAACCTAAAAAAATAAAAAAAATTAACAAACTTGGTACATATACAAATTAAGTGTACATAGCTAATGAAATATTTTAAATATTTTTGTCGAACATAAAACATTAAAAATTGTACACGGCATTCCACTGACAAAAACAAGAGTTACATAAATGATTATGATGTTTACTGAAAGTTTAAATATATTTTTGTTAATAACTTACCACAATTTTGTAGTTTTCGTCCTTTTTTAGCTAACTTTTCTAGTTCTTCCAGGTCAATATCTGGCCTTACAGGATTTTTTTCATAGAAAGTGTGTATGTAATTCTGGTAACACTGTATTTAGTTTCAATCCACCATCAGTGTTAACTATATTAATAAATTCACATTGGCCATTAATATTTGGGATATCCCGTATTCTAACGTCACTTATAGGTCCTAAAAACTATAAATATAGTAAAATTTTATTATTTTCATATAGAACATACGATGCAATTAATTTTTATTAATTTACTTACCTCTTACAAACGAAATCAAAAAAAAATTTTACGAATTGTAGGTTATGTTATTCTTCTTCTTTTCTTCTATTTTAGTTTGAGAATGTTTTTTGGCCTAAACATTCAACATTAGTGCGTTTGGTAGCGAATTATTAGATCGGCATCTGGGAAAAATTCATATAAATGTTTTTACATGTATTTGGGGTTAATTTTTACCTGCAAGCATTTAGAACATTCTCAGAATATAAGGTACATGCTGGGTATATGACTTTTAGTATCTTCTAAGAATGTCCTGTTATAGCACGTGCTCAGTATATACTTTTTGGAATATACTTTTAATGCACGTACTCAGAATATACTTTCTAGAATATACTTTCAAGGTATATTCTAGGTATGTTCTAAGAATATTCTAAAAGGATATACTAAAAAGAACTTAGAAAGTTCTTGGTATATTCATAGAACATTGATGTGGGGTCTGGGTAGGCGTTACAAGTGGTACGTGCTTCTTAAAAACTTTTGTTGTGTTTTTTACAAAATTCACTTCCTTCAACATTTTCGTTGGGCCTTTTTTTTCTCCAACGTTTTAAAGTGGTACGTAAGTGGATATGCGCGTGAAAAAAAGTGGACGCTTGTACCATAGCAAGATAAAAAAAATACTTTTTCACTGAATTAGTGTCCATTAAAAATATTGGGCCATTTTTCGTGTCCAACGAAAACAATAAATTTAAAAAAATTAGAATGGTTTAAACATAAAAACGCAATAACTTGACAAGGATAATCTCTAGGCAATAAAGTCTCTTCTAATAAGCGACAATTGCTTAGTTCTGGATTATCAGCAACTCTCACTAAAATATCATCCTCCTGATCCACAGTTAATATTTTCCATGCCACTGTTACGCCTAAATTGTAAAGTTTGAAATGAAGCTATTTCGCAAAAATTGTATTTATTTTCACCATAATTCACTAGCTCCACTATCTCGAGTTTGACATATGACGTAAAAGTGTAATTCAAAAGTGCAGACACTTTAGCATCGCCATAGCATCTCCTTCTTCATTCTATTTCAATGCATTTAATCGATTTTTTAAATTTTACAACAATCACAATCCTAAGTGTCATTAACAACAACTAACAGTCATGACAGCATCCTACTAGATCGAAAAAATTCAGTCAGACCAGAGCCAACTGCACAAAACCTAGGCTTATTTTCAATATGTCATATGCACTTTAATACCATGAAAGCATATTTATCTAAATAATATGGAGAACTAATACGGTTTAAAGTTTTATTTGCGTAATAAATGCAATCCAATGACCCAAAACACCGACATAATTAATACACATTGCAATTCCGTCAGTGACGTAGAAATTGGGAATTTGGTCGTAAGCCTCTGGTAGTAGCCAAAAATGTTTATTTAACGTAATTAAATAGAATGTATAGTACCCAAATATGAAAATAATACGTCAAATAGTTTTAAACTACTGGACACGAATAATTTTCAAATTTTTAAATACTCGGGCAGGAAACATATTTTATCTAGGTGTACATAGAGCTACTTTATGTTGGTGAGATCAAAATAAGTCGATTGAGCCAAAATTACCTACATCAAATAATCACAAGGATTACAGTCCGGTGATCGAGGTGGCCAGTTAGTAGGAGTGTCCCGACCTCTGCCAATTCATCTTCCATGGATTGTTCGTTTAAATAACCCTTTCAAGCCCAAGATTTTTTTTAAAAAATATTTTTTTGTTATGGTATGTTATATTTAAGAGTTAAGGAGAATATGAAAAATGTTACAAAAAATCTGGAGTCTCCTATTTTAAAAAACAACCATGTCACATTCATATACTCTGGACATATGCGACAAGAACGCATGATCGTGAATGAGAATAAGAACCGTTTGATAACAACAGTGGAAATGAATCTAAAATCCAATACTATTAATAATTTTTTAATGAATACATTTAAATATAATCTTTGCAGTATTACTTCACATGATAGTTTTTAAAACATAACTTATTTTGTAATAAACATAGGTAAATGTCACATTTTTCACAACTGATTTCTGATCGGTTACTACATGCTTTCAACCTGCGTGTTCTTGGATTATCAATTTCATCAAAGACTGGAAAGTGTTCATATCCATTATACCTTCTTGTTTCTGATGGTTTATTAGCTGGTCGATATCTCTTAAGTCTTAAGTCAAGATCTATATTCTCAATTTGGTTACTTTCATCATTAAGTAAACGTATTTTGACTGGTGTTCCTAGTAGACCGTCTGCTATGTTTAGTCGATATTCTAAAAGTTCTTTGAAATTTAGCTTGGGAATGTGTGTGCGGCAATGGCTTTAGAGCGATAAAGCCGCATTTACAACAGAAAAACTAATAAAATATAGTATCACTTTAAGAGTTCACTTCTTGGTTTTGATGAAGGTTCGATACTATTGCATACTTTGATGTAGAACATCTACTCTCCCCATATTTTTGTTGCAGTTGTCAGTAATTTTTGGCATGATAATATAAATGTAGGCTTTTCGTTTTTTATCCCATCGTTTTACATTCACTGTGCTGTCAGCTGATGTAC